ATGCAACCAAATCAAGTCAGTTTTGGCAATTTAGTTAGTGTGATGATCAGTTGGCATAAATACACTAAAATTAATACATACCACTTACATGAGAAAAATCACATTGATAAGCTCTGGGACTATTGCAGATGCCAAACTAACCCAGAATTATATATCAAACATCTGTATCACTGACATTCTCGAACTAAAATTGGATCATCACAAGTTGTGTCTTCGTTCCACTCTTTTCGTGCTTCTGAAATAGTAAGCTGCATCATTTGTTGCATTTCAGTCGACTGATGGAGCACCACATCGTTGGAGACAAATGTCCGAACCATTCCACCTATCTCTAAATAGTGGACACGCCACGTGTCTATAAAAAAACAATTCATAATAGATGAATCAATAATAAAAAATAAATAAAAATCCCATTATTGTTATATATAATCACAAAATAAAAAGGCCATGCAAGAAGAACCTCTTTTTCAGTGCATAATACACAAACGTAAATCTTGATTTTTCTAATGCATAGAAGCAGTCTCGAACTCAAATCACCATTGCCCTAGTTATTACAAGCTTGAAGAGTTACAATGTTAATGAAATTCAATGCCTCCTCCATGATTAATGTGGCACAATCATGAATTCCCTGTGGGATCTCCGACAACTTGTTCTGTGAGGGCCTGATGATTGTTGCAAGAATTTAGAAACATTCAGAGTTTATAATCTTGACCCAAAATAAGATAATCAAGAAATGAAGTGCCTGGTTCCATTAAGTAATAATATATAATATATTAATCTAATGCTCTTATATTACTCCAACATAGTTCGAAGCGACGTCAGTTATGTTTTACTATTTTCAGAATTAAGGTTTAAAATAATTTCAAAAAATTCAGAATTAGTATTTAAGCCAAGAAAAATACTCGAAAGCTTACAAAAATTTAGGAAAAATCCTACAGACATTTGAAACACGATGAACCAAAGTACAATATTTGAAGCTCATGATAAGATATTTTGAAGCAACGAAAAAAATTACATTTTGCTCTAGGAAAAAGGGAAAAAAGTTCTAGAAAAGACCGAAAAATTTCCGAGACACACTACATGGTACCTAAAGCGCATTTTGTAAACTTATCTCATAAACACCAAATACACCACATGCAAGCAACAAAACAAAACGGTATCACTTTTAATTCAAAAAATAGAAAATCATTTTTTAGACAAATCTAGAAAAAAATTATTAAAAAATATTAAAATTATTTTTTTGTGTTATCTATTCATATCCTAAAATTGAAATTTTGGGGTGTGACACCATAGGATCCGCAAAGTGCGGGTGGGGCACCTGATTCAGGTCACCGTCTATGTAGTGGCCCCGAAACCGAGTCGCCTCTAGAAACGTATTTGTAGAGGTGGCTATGCTCCCAGCCGCCTCTGCAGATGCCTCTATTGAGATGGCTATATTTCCCGCCGTCTTTAGAAATCGATTTTTTTTCAGAGGTAGCTCTATTTTCAGTCACCTCTAGAAATCGACTTCCAACCGCCTTTAAAAAGAGTTGCATAGTAAAATTCAAAATTTTCGAACGATATCGGAATGCAGAAAAGACCAAAAACAAAAGCTATAAATCTCGAAAAGTTATACAACTTTATAGTTGACAACTTTTTCATTTGAAATCATCTATGCTTGAAAAATTACATTTGAATTTCTCATATATTTGAAATTCAAAATTTTCAAACGACCTCGGATAAAGAAATGACCAACACAGAAGTTGTAGATCTTGAAAAATTATGCAACTTTGTAGTTGACAAATTACGTTTGAATTCCTCGCATTTGAAATTCAAAATTTTCAAACGACCTCGGATGGAGAAAAGGACAAAACCAAATTTGTAGATCTCAAACAGTTATAAAACTTTGTAGTGAACAACTTTTTCATTTGAATTCATTTAGGGTTCCAAATATTTATTTTAAAAATTAGATGAAGATAAAATGAGGAGGATATCCCAAATGAACACAGTTTGTATTTCAAGATTTGTACTTTCTAAACCTCATGGCTCCTTTGGAAGACATAAGGACCCCCATCTTGCTAATATGTATTTTTTTTCTTATGCTCATCCCCTTGCCAGAAGAAGTGAATCTATATAGAAATCTAACTTCTAAAGAATGCCATTTGGTACATTGAAGATGGACATCATATACATAGCCAAGATGCTTAACACTGAGTTTTATCGAAACTAGTTAGCCACCATAAGACAACCTTTCCAATTGCTCAGTTTTTTTGAGAGCATTCTTTGACATATTTCCAACCCTTGTTGGTGAGTTTGCTATGATTCATAGGAATGCCCAAGTATCTAAAAGGATATTGGCCCATGCCATAGCCAAAAACTGTGAGTATTGATACATATAATTTTTGGTCTCCCAATAGCAGAATAACTCACTTTTGTGAAATAAGTTCCAAGAGTTTGTCAAAAGCACACAAAATATTTTCATGTCTTTTGCTTATTGAGTGTTATGCTCCATAAAAAGTATTGTGTCATCAGCATAATGCACGATTGAAAGGCCCTAATGGTTAGAGGGGGTGAATAGTCTAATAAAAATTTCTACAACAACACTTAACAAACCGATTAGACAATTATGAGGTGAAGCAAGTGTTGTGCTAGCCAACTAAAAAAACAAGCCACCTACCACAATTTTAGTTTCTATTGTTTCTAACCACACAATAGCTATGGCACTACACTAAGTTTGTGTGCTCTCAAAGACTAACTAAAGAGCCACACTAACTAAACTAACAAGCTCTCATAACTAGCTACACTAAAGAGCTTGACAACTAGTTTGCGGTAATGTAAAGAGAGAGAGCAAGATAGTTATACTGCCGTGTCGAGGAGTGAACCAATCAATCACAAGAATCAATATCAATGAAGACCAATCACCTCGGAATCAAATGATGAACACAATGATTTTTTACCGAGGTTCACTTGCTTGCCAGTAAGCTACTCCTCGTTGTGGCGATTCACTCACTTGGAGATTCATGCGCTAATTGGCATCACACGCCAAACCCTCAATAGGGTGCCGCACAACCAACATAAGATGAGGATCACACAAGCCACGAGCAATTCACTAGAGTACCTTTTGGCTCTCCACCGGGGAAAGGTCAAGAACCCCTCACAATCACTATGATCGGAGCCGGAGACAATCACCAACCTCCGCTCGACGATCCTCGCTGCTCCAAGCCGTCTAGGTGGCGGCAACCACCAAGAGTAACAAGCGAATCCCGCAGCGAAACACGAACACCAAGTGCCTCTAGATGCAAACATTCAAGCAATGCACTTGGATTCTCTCCCAATCTCACAAAGATGTTGAATCTATGATGAAGATGAGTGGGAGGGCTTTGACTAAGCTCACAAGGTTGCTATGTCAATGCAAATGGTCAAGAGAGTGAGCTTGAGCCGGCCATGGAGCTTAAATAGAAGCCCCCACAAAATAGAGTCGTTGTACCCCTTCACTAGACACAACGCAGGGGTGACCGGACGGTCCAGTCATATTGACCGGACGCTGGACCTCAGCGTCTAGTCACGCGATGCGTGCCACGTGTCCCCTCTCTTCAAATACTGAGCGCTTGATCTCAATGGTCATATGATGACCGGACGTAGTAGCTCAAAGTGACCGGACGCTGGACCTCAGCGTCTGGTCGTTTCCAGTAAGCATCCAGAAACGATTTTTCACGACCGGACATGTCCGGTCATGCTCGACCGGACACATCCAGCGTCTGGTCACACGACGACTCCCATGTGTGCTGCCACGTCAGCAGAACCGGACGCACCCCTCCGGCGTCTGGTCACTAAGTGACCTAGCGTCCGGTCAGAGACTCTGACGCCAACATCTTTGCAACTTCTACTGACCGGACGCGCTGGTCCAACCGAGGCCGGCGTCCGATCACTTACAGTGACCTCCATCTTTTTTGTCTAGGGCGCCGGTGGCACCGTCGGACTGTCCGCACTCTACAGGCGGACACTCCGCCGGTGAAATTGCTCACCCTTGCTCAAATGTGCCAACCACCAAGTGTATCACCTTGTGCACATGTGTTAGCATATTTTCACAAACATTTTCAAGGGTGTTAGCACTCCATTAGATCCTAAATGTATATGTAATGAGTTAGAGCATCTAGTGGCACTTTTGATAACCGCATTCCGATACGAGTTTCACCCCTCTTAATAGTACGACTATCAATCCTAAATGTGATCACACTCACTAAGTGTCTCGATCACCAAAACAAAATGGCTCCTACCATTTATACCTTTGCCTTGAGCCTTTTGTTTTTCTCTTTCTTCTTTTCAAGTCCAAGCACTTGATCATCACCATGGCATCACCATCATCATGTCATGATCTTCATTTGCTTCACCACTTGGAATGTGCTACCTATCTCATTATCACTTGATAAACTAGGTTAGCACTTAGGGTTTCATCAATTCACCAAAACCAAACTAGAGCTTTCAAGGATTCAAATTAAAGGCCATCATCAATAAGATGTGGGATAAGACCTTGAATTTGACCATCATGTTTTGCCCTACTTATGAGTATGGCTAACATATCCACTACAAGGTTAAAAAGGATTGGTGATAAAGGATCATCCTGTCATAGATCTTTTTTCGTTTGAAAGTACATTGCCACATCATCATTTACCTTTGCTGCAACAATACCTCCAAAAACAAATTGATGAATCCATTGGCACCACAAAAGTAAGAATCATTTCATTCTGCATGTTTGCTAGAGAAAAGGCCATTTAACTTTAACATATGCCATTTCAAAATCAACCTTAAAAATGAATCCATTGGCACCACAAGGTAGAGTCTGGAAAGGGGAACAATTTTTAGAAAAATGATAACTAGGTTAACTCTGATTGTACAAGTTTCACATAGTGTCATGTGTAACAATCTGTTTTGGCAAACTCAGATGCTATGCCACCTGCCTTTTATTGTTACAGTCATAGTCTATGTTCACTATATATTTTTAGATAAGGGAACAAAGATGTTCACTATATATGAAAGAGAACCAAGTCAGGGTCTACTCCTCTTGGGATACTGACAGTCTGCTGACTAATATCTGGCAATGCCAGTGCAATTTTCTCGGCATGCTCTAAGTAGCTCTCAAACTTGTCGTGACTAACCCCAGGTTTCGTCGTCAATTTATCTGAAACCTTTGGCTGGCCATTCTCAGCCAAGAGATGAAGACCAGTGGCAAGAGCCAGCTCCTCCTTCATGATATGGTACTTAATCGCCTGCTTCCGGAATGTCCAGTCGCCGGTAATCCAGTCAAATTTGTACAAAGGGAGGAACCTGTGGCCGTACAACGCGATGAACTCGATGGCGGCCAGGATGAAGTTGAACTCCTCCTTGGACAGGTAGTAAGCAAAACTCAACCTTGTCCATCCTGGCTTCAGTCCACTATAACCCTGAGAAAATGTGACAAATAACAGTAACATTATTAGTACAAACTTTGTCAGACTAAAGAGGATATATATACTATAACCATCCCACAATTTGATCATACATACCTCAAGAATCACAGACCGGATGCGAAGGGAAAGGTCGTTCTTAATGTTGAGCAATGTATGGCCATAGGGGCCTGCACAGGCACATCCACCCCTTGCTTGGATACCGAAAAGATCGTTAAGAAGCCTGGTGACAAAACGGCCATGGAGTGGGAGATGCTTGCAACCAGGCTTATCAGCAGCAGCAACAGCTTCAGACAAAGGATTATTGGTGACAGGAGGGTAGACGAGGAAGGAGAAGATGGGTAGGCGTTCTACGTCCGTGTTGCCAAGAACCCTTATGTTTGGGTTGCTGACGAGCCTTTTCATTGCCATCTCGGAGTAAACTTGCTCCCTGAGGCTCATCCTGTCATACCCAATGTACTCCTTAACCCAAAATGCAAGCGATGCACGGATCTTCTGGAGGATTGGTGGCGTGCCTGCGTCCTCCCGCTCCTCGATATCATCGTAGTACAATGTATCCTGCAAGTGTCATACAACACAATTATATTTGTTGAAGTTTAATTTTATATTTGCTGCTTGTCTCGTGGGAAGTCTAGAAGGAGCGCAACAGAAGGACGTTCGACGGCAACAAGACGCCAGCCCAGGTGCTTGCCCTAATCCGTGACGAGGGCCACTCCTGGATCGCGGCTGGCTTCCGGAGTCTGGCGCCGCTATTCGGGGTGGCTGCTTAGCGGTGTTGGGTTACTCTTAGTCGCACAATAGTTCCTCACTTAGTACAACCGCCTAAGTTCCTCCGTTCAAGCCGGTGATTGCTGTTAGTGTTCCACGCGCTTTGGCCTATGGCAACTCGTCGTCTAGGCCCCCGGGCCGTGTACCTCTATTCTAACTTCCCTTAATGAAGTACGTGCAATGCATGCTTTTGAAAAAAAAATATTTTAGGAGATAAGTATCAATAGTTGTATGTAATAACACAGGTTGTACTATACTAGTTGCAGTATTCCATTGCTGTTGCTGAGTGGTAGCTCACCTCCTCGTTGAAGCCATTGACGTAGGCCACGGTGCCACCGCCACATGTGGAAGGAGGCTGAGCGTTGAGCCGGTACAGTGCTTTGTTCATCACTAGGATGCCTGGTGTGCCCGGTCCACCAACGAATTTGTGTGGGCTCAAGAAGACTGCGTCGTAGCCGTCGATTTCACCAGATTTCATGTCAATCTTCACGTATGGTGCACTGCACATATTAAAGGAAAAACTAGCTCGTTAGAACTGATGATGCATGGATTTCTTTTATGTGCTCATTTTGAACCACAAACTGAACCGATGTGCCAAATTTCCAATATATGCATGTATGCTATCCCTAATACTATTTTCTGATCAAAATTCAATCTGCAGATAGTAGTTTACAGGTTGGATGGATTTCTAACAATAATGTTGACAACAAGAAATTTCCAGATTGACCTATATAGAAATCTAGAGCTCTTAATTACAATCTTGGTCGTCCAGTCAAAGTCGTTCTTTTTTGCTCTGAGTCAAAATGAATTCACTAGAATTTTTGGTCGCCATTTAGTTTCTTCCCCTGACATCATTAGCTAGAAAAGAGTAAATGCTGCAAGCAATTAGTCCACTTCAAGAGGGAAACAAGATACACAGCAGGTCAACATATAAGTAGCTCCAGTTCATACTTAACGTGAAATATATACTAGGATCAAGATCGGCAGTTCGATCGTGTCCTCTCATGTGTAGTCATATGTATTCTATACAAACAGCAGATGAAACTAGCTAGATAAGCACTGATACATGTCTGATGATCGAGTCAAATATATTCAAAGCTAGCGTGTGATGACATAAATGTTTACTCGTCAACTAGCGTGTGTGTACAAATAGAAGAATTTTCCCAAGCGATGACTATGCAGTTTTCATCATCCGTAAAACTCTGGCTCATATATATATAATTTTCCCATGTGACGTACACCAATTTTGAGCAAGTCAACAGCAAGAAAATTGAAGACTAAAATAAGTCTGCCGTATCCTTGAATGTCAAATCCATCGTTATCATGCATGTATAGTAGTATGTATATATCAAACGAAGATGAGAGCGACATTCCATCGCTCTCACGATCAAAGTTAAGTACTCCTATGCATTTGTTTAATCTGACTGTCGATCGTCTCTGAGTTCAGATTTCTCACCTGGCGGCGAAGTCCGAGCACCTTTTAACTAATATATGTACTTAATAGTTAGCTAGCTAATATTCGATAGGAGTTCTTAGAGCAAGTATAATAGCAGGTTGTATGTAGCCTGAATGCTAAAGTGGGTTGTAAGCTTACAGCCGATTTAGACACAAGAACCGAGAAATTCTATGAGAGAGATAAGTGAGCCCTTGAAGAACTAACTACTATATGGATGGGCTAAGAGACAGGCTGCAAGGATGCTTACAACCAGCAGCTGATTGTATTTTTAGTCTTGTTTTTATCCAGCTAACTATCAGCAGATAATGAATCAAACATGGCCTAAATGTCAAATCCATCGTATTTGTCATGCACTCATGCATCAGCATGTTGTGGTTTATATTAGACGAAGATGATGAGAGCGACATTCCATCGCTCTCACGATGAAAGTTAAGTATGCATTGGTTTCATTAATCTGACGGCCAGTGGTGTCTGACTTCAGACTTCTCACCTGGCGGCGAAGTCGAAGCACGCGAAGGCGCCATGCTCGTGCAGGACGCGCGCGATCTGCCGCGTGTCCGTCACGACGCCCGTGACGTTGCTGCAGGCGGAGAAGGAGCCCAGCATGGGCCGGTTCACGAACTCCGGCGACGCGAGCGAGCGGCGGAGCGCGGCCACGTCTACGAGCCCGTCGGCGTCGACGCCGATCTCGACTACCTCGGCGAGGCTCCGGCGCCACGACAGCAGGTTGGAGTGGTGCTCGTAGGGCCCCACGAAGACCAACCACTGCTCCTCGGCGCGCAGCTGCGCCGCGACGCGGGCGCGCAGCTCCACGGAGGGCACGGCGACGCCCATCACCTCCTGCAGCCGCTTGATGGCCGCCGTGGTTCCGGAGCCGCAGAAGAGCAGAGCGTCGCCGGGGCCGGCGCCCACGCAGCGCTTCACGTAGCGCGCCGCTTTGTGCACCAGCCGCGTCGTCTTGCTCCCGACGTGGCTGTCCTCCGTGTGCGTGTTACCGTAGAAGGGGAGGACCTCTTTGACGAGGTAGTCCTCGATGTACCGCAGGCTCCGGCCGGACGCCGTCTGGTCGGCGTACGTCAGCGCGCGACGGCCGAACGGCGTGTCGAACTCGGCGTCCTTCCCGATGAGCTGCGACCGGAGCCACTCCACCTTCTCTTCCCCAGTGCCGCCGATGGCTGCCGCACCACCGGCGGCCTTTTCCTCCGACATGGTTGCACGGAGCAGGCTCATCAGGGCGACCATGCTCTTGGTCTTGGCCTCCTCGGACTCTGTCGGTGCCACTGCTGCCGCCAGCTGCTTCTTCGTCGCCATGGTCGATGTGGCTGCTTGCACAGATGGCATTGTCCTCCACTGAAAACGTACGTCGACGCTGGCAATGGCAGTGGTGGTGGATGAAGTGGCAACGGCAGTGGCAGTGGCTTGTTACTTGTACACGCGTGTGTGTCTGCTTAGCTTTGTTGTGTGGCCTGAAGCTTTGCATGGAGGCAGGTATATATAGCCATTTGCATTGCACCGAGAGTTGAACAACGTCGAAAACAGGAGGAGGAAGAAGAAGACGGGAAGGAACAGGGAAGATCGAAGTGGGAGAAAAAAAATTGGGGAATTTTGCTCAGGGACACTGAAGAATGGCTTTATTTGCCGCCGGACACCGCCAACTCGCTTATTGGCTCAGTACCATTATGAATCACGGTTTATTTGGCAGAAGACGCCGCAGTCATTACTTTACTCTTTTCTGTCATTTTGGAGAGAGAAAATTTTGAAAATGACGCTCGATGCCCCTGGTTGAACCAGATTGCGTCGGTCAAAGGCACACATCCCCTTTGTTAAACCCTAACCCCTTCGCACTCAGCCACAGGCGCCGCCGCATCTCTTACCGCATCCACGAAGCTCCGGCGATGACCTGGCTTCCGCCGCCTCCTCCGGCACGGCTCGCGCCCGTGGTTTGATGGACGTATGAGGATGGTGTCGTCAGGAAAAGTGAAGCGCTTGCGGCCAAGTGTAGATTCCCCTTCGAAGGGGCTCAATCTAGCATGGGTTCCTGAAGGGTACGCCCTATTCTTCCCCTTTTCTCTCGTTTCCTTTTTCCCCGTTTGCTTGTTGTGGTTGGATTTGTCTTGCTCATCTTAGTATTTGTTGGGCCGAATCTAGGGATTTCATGGTTTCTTGTTGTCCATTTTTTAGGATGGACATTAGTACCGCCTGCCGGATTGATGTGTGGGCCACTCCGAATCTTAATCCTCTTACAGCTAATTTCCAACTAGTGGTTGATAGGGACACTACGAATTTGAAGGATCTTACTAACGATGTAGCAGCTAAGGTCGCTTGCGGAGCTAATCAGGGCTTGAATCTATGTTTTTACAACAAGCCGAGAAAATGTTACTCCACTCTTAGTACTGACTCCATGCTGATGGATGCTATTGACATGTATTGGGATCTAAGGAAGCTGGTTGTGTATGTGGGGGTGTATGACACGGTTGCAGTTACATATAGTCAGAGTGTTTCTGCTGATGAGGCACTATCTGCTCTTGAACCCCCTGTTCAAGCAGGTGACCATGATGATGCAGAGCCAGATCCTTGTGATGGTGGTACTGATACTGATGGAGAGATGAAAAGTGTTCCAAGGTCAAAGAAGAAAAGAAAGGAGGTAGCTGATGATGATGTGTCTTGGGAAGAAGATGAAGAAGAATATGTGGGGGTGAATGATGAAAACCATTACATGTCTAGCCTTAATGATGATAATGCAGGTCCAGATGTTGATGCTTATGACTCTGACGGTAGTGGTAAGGATTATCTTTATGTTGATGATGAAGCTGGTTGTGAAGTTTTTAAACATGCCACTGACTTAGAAAACCCAACCATAGCTTGTGGGGTCACATTTGAGGATGGGGATACCTTTAAGAGAGCAATTAGGCAATTTGCAGTACTAAATGAGTTTGAAATTACAGCTCTTTACAGTGAGTCAACAAGGTACAGAGGGTTCTGTAAGGGTTCAAAGAGCAAGAAGAAGAGGTGTAAGTGGAGGATTCATGCATCTCAGCTGCAAGATGGCAAAACTTGGCAGGTATGCTATTGAATCATTTTTATTATTGAACTGATAGGATAGGTTACTAAATGTGAATTTTGTGAACATGTTTGTTTTTGTTGTTTAACTGCTTTGCAGATAAAGATGTATGAGAAGCATACTTGTCCAAGCACATCCAAATTGCATCAAAATTGTATGGCTAATAATGCCTGGGTGAGGGACAGGATAATTGACATCCTCAGAGAGGAACCGACAATAGGGGCAGCAGCATTGAAGAAAGACCTGGAGAAGAAGTATAACATTACTTTGTCATACTATGTGGCCTTTGATGGCAAACGGATGGCTCTAGAAGAAATTAATGGCAAGTGGAACGACAGTTTCAATGATGCCTTTAGTTTCAAGGCAGAGGTTGAGAGAACCAATCCTGGTAGCATTGTGGAAATTGAATGGGAAAATGTGGGAAAGAAGATGAGATTCTCAAGGATGTTTGTGGCACTAAAGTCATGTGTTGATGGATTCTTGAATGGATGCAGACCCTTCTTGGGAGTTGATTCAACAGTGCTAACAGGGAGGTGGAGAGGACAGCTAGCCTCTGCATCAGCAGTAGATGGAAACAACTGGTTGTTTTCAGTTGCTTATGGTGTGTTTGGTTCAGAATCCGCTGACAGTTGAAAATGGTTCTTTGAGAAGCTACAGACTGCAATTGGCTCCCCACCAGGACTTGTAATCTCTACAGATGCTGGTAAAGGAATTGACAGTGCAGTGACTTCGGTTTTTTAAATGGAGTTGAGCATAGAGAGTGCATGAGGCATTTGGTGAAGAACTTCTAGAAGAGGTACAAAGGTGCTATGTTCAAGAAGCATTTGTGGCCATGCAGCAGGGCATACAAGCAGCAGCATTATGAGTACCATTACAACATAATGAAGAAGGCTTCACCAAATGCAATCAAATGGATAGAACAAACACATAAGCACTTGTGGAACAGATGGAAGTTCTCCCACGCCAGCAAATGTGACTATGTAACAAACAACATTGCAGAGACATTTAATAGTTGGATCAGAATGGAGAAGTCATAGTCAGTCATATCTCTGATGGATAGGATCAGACAGATGATCATGGAGAAAAATGTAGCGAGAAGGACACTTGCAGAGAAGCTAAATGATAGGATTCTACCTAACATCATAAAGGACCTAAATGCCAGGAGCAGGAACCTAAATTATGTCATACACAAAGGACCTAACAACACAACAGAGATTCAGGATACTACTAAGGAATTGAAAACTTGGAGACACACTGTTGATTTGGGCAACACATCATGCAGCTGCCAAAGGTGGCAGATAACTGGGCTGCCATGTACTCATGCACTTTGCTTGATCAATGCATTAAAGAACAGGAATGTGGAAGATTATGTACATGAGTACTATTCTGTAGCCATGTTCAAGAAGGCTTATGAAGGGGTTGTGCATCCCATGACAGATAGAAGCCAATGGCCTAAGGTTGAGATAGGCTTTAAACTTTGGCCTCCAGCTTTTAAAAGATCAGCAGGACGACCAAGGACAAGAAGATTGAAGGGAGCTGAAGAAGGTGGAAAGGGAACTCGTAGACAGATGCAGTGCAAAAGATGTGGTCAATTTGGGCACATGATGAAGACTTGCAATGAGACAATGTATGACTCAGATGCACCTCCTCCTGCAGCAGCTAAGCCCAAAAGAAGCAAGGGAAAGAAAAGCAAGCCAACTTCTACAGTTTCTACCCAGCAGTCTCAGGTTGGAGGAAGCACTGCAAGTGCTGCAGCAGCACCTTCTAGCCCTACAGCCAACACTAGAAGGTACCTATACCTGTTTGCCTTATTGCCTTGACATAACTATGATATCCAAAGACTACATACTAACATTTTAGTTCTGCACCTGTAGCCACAAAAGGATGTTGGGCATGACAGATGGAAGTTCATCCCCTCCTAAGAAGATCAAGGTGACGACCAAGAGGACACCAAAGAGAAAGAACACTACTGGCATGGTAGCCAAGAAGAAACTAGTCATGGATAAGCACAAGTAGTTTAAGTACTGAAGTATCCAAAACAATTGCTTTTGTTGACATGTGATGTCATGTGACACTCGATTTGTGCTGTTTAAGGTGTACTGTGACATGTGAAGGCATGTACCTTCAAGATGTTATGTTAATTACTGTCAGCTACCTCTAAGATTATCATGCTTTAAGATGTTATGTCTACTGTCTTTGCTTTGCTCAGTGTTACTTGGTTGACAGTGCACATAGTGATATTGAAGGATAGCAGCTCATGTCATATCTCTGAGTTCACATGTCAACCCATTACATTACAATGCATCATGTGCCTACAATAGTTACATAAGGACTGAGATACATGAGCACCAACACATTGCTTGCCTTACTTGCAAATCAAAACCATCAGAACCAACGCTACAACTACCAAGTTTGCCACACCAAGAATAAGCAGACGCTCTCCAATCCTATCCATCTTGGCTTCAGTTTGAGATGGAGCCTTCAGTTTTGCCTCCACATCATTCAGAGAGGCGATTGCGCTCTGCAACAAACCAGTGAAGGTCTGAACACCTTCTACGGCTGCTATCAACATGTCATGGCCATCCTTCGCCTTGACTGCACCCACTGAAACCTCCGCACTTTTAAACCGACTGCAATAGCGAGGAAGGTGGCCTCCAACCACCAAGTACTCGACATAGTCTTCTTCAAACATGTACACCTTGCATGCAAAATCAGTCCGCAAAAGCCGAATTCCAAATCTCAAACCACCATTGCAAACAAAATTGGAGATCCACGGAACAAGAATCACTTACATGCTCTAGCAGAGGGCACTTGTAGAACCTCTTTCCCTTGTTGCCTGTCTTCTGCGACACCCGGCCGATGAGCTTCGTCCCGTACTTGGAGCAGGAAACCAAGGGCAAGAACCCAGATGCATCCCTGAAGGGGTCAAGCTCGGGAGTGGGGGCAGACGCCGCCGCAGAGTGCGAACTGGATGCCATCGCCAGATCAAGGGATCTAGGGTTCCAGCACCACTTGGTTTGGGAGTGGGAAAGAAGGGGAAGGGGAATGGCTGGGGATGTCTGGAGGAGGAAGACGACCGGTGGGTCGGACAACCTGGTTCAACCAAACCATATTGGCATAGCCCAACCGAGCTAGGGGCAACTTTGTCCATCCACTGCTTGTTCTCTCTCCCAAACGATAGAAAAGATTAAAATAATGGCCGCGGTGTCTTCTAGCAAAAAAACAGCGATTCATAATGGTACTTAGCAAATACACGAGTTGGCGGTGTCCGGCAGCAAATAAAGCCTTTCTTCAGTGTCCCCTGAGTACAATTTCCCAAAAAAATTCTATGCAGCGGGTGGCAACAGACTAGTAGTTACGGGTCAAGGCGAATGCTTTGCTTCTTATGACCAAATGCTCGCCCGTTCTATCAGCCACAGACTAGTAGTTACGGGTGGCAACAGACTAGTAGTTACGGGCCAGCTGTTCGCTTTGGTCATATTCAGCCAACGAATAATATTTTTCTATAACATTAAATTAGTTAACGGTGCTTTCAGCCATGGTTTATAAGTCAAATAACTCAAAACGAACAGAGCTGCGCGTTCAATTCTGCGCTGCGCGTTTCAATTCTGCATGCATTCATTGTGTTGGCGGCAAATGCATCTGATATATTTAGATTGGAGTTGGCAGATCGAAACATCTGCATTTTTTGCCCCGTATCTTTTAAATGCATCGCATGAGCTAATCGATTTAATTACGTACGTGGGCTAGTATGCGTACCTTCGGCCGAGGTACTGTTCAGTGGGACTTGAGTTTTATTTGCATTAAATAAGTTGCCATATGCGCATTTTTTATGACATAACAATGTATTTAAAAAGAGAGAAGAAATAAGTTTCATCTAAATGAAACTCTCCTGACACGATTACCAACTCTCTATGAAGTTATGAAATTAAATGCTTATGAAACTATAGAATGAAACTTTATATTGAGGGAGGATGTTTTATCAAGTTTCATTTTATTTTATATGACATGACAGTCTTGGAAACAACACCATGAATCTATCCACTGAAACTAACCTAAATAGCATTCCTTGCATACTAGCAGATTTAGCGGGTTGGAACTTAGCGGCTGATATTTGAGGTAGCAGACCACTCGGTCCACAATTCTTCGTAGCGCACGCAGTAGCGTGCTATGATATGCGCGGCAGATAACTCCAATCCATTTTAACTATCATGAGACTATTGAGGTCACTGTTTTTGATAGTGATAATGAATCATGAACTTATGACTATTTTATTGCTCTCTCATGAGCTATTTCTTATATAATTGAATGTCTATTTATATTCATCGTTCATGAAATATATATACATAAATATCATAAACCGCTATATAAACCGTAATAGCACTCCGTATCCGGGGTCGGCTACGTCGACATTAAACAGCCAGTGTACGTACGTACGGCGCACAAACTCTCGGTGGGCTGCTTCACATTTGGTCGCACCTAAAACATCAGGAAAGTCACAGTTTCATTCTCTTGCCAAAGAAACTTCACGGATTTTTTTTCCCTCGGCGGACAGGAATTGAACGAGCAGTCTTGCGTGGAATTTATATATATACTCAGACAGTCAGACACGTGTATCATACATTTATAGCACTAGCACCTGACTGAATGACTGATTTCTTTGGAAAAACGCATTTCATGTGTGATTTTATACTTCCCTTAACCTAATGATTATATAAGTATCGTTTAAAAAAGATTTTATAATTATCTTGAACAAATTTGACAGGTCATCAACTTGTTATACCTTATTAAATTTCAATAACTAATACAATCATTGGATCAACTAGCAACTCCACGCCATATGCAAAATATCGGTCGATAGGGTCTAACACTGTTTTTTTATGAACAAAACCAAATGGTAAAGCATGCATGTCTTACGAATAACTAGTACTAGTTATACTTCTGTGTTGACACCATCAACATGTGAGCATCGACGTCCGTAGAGACTTTTTTATAAAATATGAGTTGTTAATAAAGACTTTGAGGGCTATTTTATACTCCATACTAAAATTTATCCTAACTATGATTGTGTTGCAATTTTCTCTTCAGTACGAATAAAAAAAAGTCTATTTTTGGCCACTTGGAGTATATATGGGATGCTGTCTTTTGTATCAACATTTGGTAATCTTATATTGAAGAATACTTTAGCCCTTCAATAATTTGAAATAAAAAAGTTTGAACTACAAAGAAAAAAGTTTCAACTAAAAAGTGTTTTAGATCTTATCAAGCTCCGCCATTTTCATATACGGTTTGTCTCCATGCGAGACAGTTTCAAATTTTCAAAAAATTTAATCTCAAAATCTAAGAATTTTGAAAAAAAATATTATTTTCAAATCAAAGGCTTGTGCAAAGATGTAAATTGTATTGACAACTAAAACTTTGGTATAGATCATGTCAATGTTCGATGTCATTTGAAATTTGAAATTTTAAAATGTTAGATCATAAAAGGAATATTTAGGAATCTAAATGATTTTAACTCAAAGGATTGTTTACTAAAAAGTTTCAGAACGTATTGAGAACTGCAACTTTTGTGTAGACCATGTCAACATTCGAGGTTGTTTGAAAATTCTAAATTTTAAATTTTAAAATCTAAGAGTTTAAAACAAAATTTGGGATCTTGAATATAGTTTCAATAAAAATTTATCAACTAAGTGTAAATCGCGTTGCGCTCTACAATTTTAGTATAAAGTTTGTCTTCATATAATTCTATTTAAAAATGTTATGAATTTTTTGAGCCAAGAATTTTTAGAGGCAAGCACTTACAATGGTTGTCTCTGTTAATTGATTTGTAGAGGTGAATCCTGAGTCTAGGGAAAATGGACCCTATGGGCCATTATGTTGGATTTTAGTGTTTGATGAACAACATGATCATTTGGACTAATGTTGCTTGCTAGTATACAAGGAGTAGTTCGAATGGATGCAAGATGGACTTGTACTTTGGCAAACTAGTGATTTAGATGATCAATACCTCAAGCAAAACATTAGAAGATATGTTGAAGACCCACAAGACATGCAAGAAGTCCAAGACACAATATGGAACAAAGCCTTACACAAAAACATGAAGAAACGGAGTCTAATGCATGTTGTTTGCATGCGCCGGATTCACCTGGTGGGCCCCCCTAGGGGTACCAGACTATAGGGTTGCAAACCCTAACTGGAGGAATCTAGAAGGCATCGGATTATTCTGGTGGTGGCGTCGATGAGAGAATCGGAGTATGCGCTGAACTGTTCACCAAAGGTGTGTTACACTGACTAGATTGATCCCATGTGGACAGAAACAAAGCACCGGGCTATAAGGTGACCATCCGAGATGTTCCATAGAGGAGAACAGGGAACCAGATTGATCCAGTGATGAGCACCGGACTATGCGCCAGGAAAGTGCCCAAAGGCTAGCTCGGAAATGAGCTCTAACGGCAAGTTTCTTTAGGGAGATTATATACCCCTGACCCTTTGGAGTGTATTAGAGTGTGCTGAAGATATTGGAGTGTTGAGACACTCTCCCCTTAGTACTCTAGCCACCATAAGTGCGTGCTACCACCAGCCTTTTGGAGTGTGTTACAGTATACTGAAGATATTAGAGTGTGTTATAAAAAAAATGTTATTGCTCTAGATCAGTTTATACTATAAAAACATATAACATTTTAACTAGATTTTAAAATATAGTATTGTCATTTGTACCTCTAAATTGTTTTACTATAAAAATAGATAACATGATTAATCTAAAGATACTTATTTGGTATCGTAAATGTTAGTATTTTTCTCTATATATATTAATTCGATCAAACTTGAGATTAACTCCTTAAAACACAAGATGTGCAGTTATTTTTGAGGAGAAACCAAGTCAGTACTCCTGATTTGTGGATCACTAGGGCATCCAGGAGCTCCGCGTCCACTCCAAATCTAAAAGACGTCGCCACATGTATACTGGTGGTTTTGTAAACCATAGATGAAAATGGCTTAAATCGTCCGCTGGGGAT